CCAAACAACAAAACTTCGGTATAAACTTTTATTAATAAATTTGGATTTAATCGGCTGTAATTTGGCAGCCGAATAACCCAATTTGGACTAGTGATACTTAATCCTGAAATATAGTTCAGGTAAATAAGCTAGTTTTCTTATATAGTTTTAGAATTTTTTTTTATTTATTAAATTGAATAATATCTCTTATATCAAGAAAATTGATACTATAGTTAGTTTTGATTGTTTTTAGTACTTTATTAGTTTTATTGATTTAGAAAGTAAAAAAATATTTTATATTTTTTACTAATTAACTTGTAAAGAAACATTTATCAATTTTTATATTTGCTGTAATTAGTTAAACTAGTTTATATATAGGAAAATAAGTAGACATGTTATGATCTTGAATAGTATATTATATTATGAGGTTGTTATTTAAGATTATATGAGAACTGAATTGATTATTATTATATTTAGAGGTTACTACATATGAACTGAATTAATTAATATTATGTTTAGTAATATTTATATATAATATCTTATTCTTATAATCAAGCTATATACTATTGTTATTAATTTTTATTTCAGTTAAGACAGAAGTATTTGAAAAAAATATGAGTATTTTGATTTTTTATTTCAAAGAAAAAGTTTTAATTACTTTATTAATATTAATTTTAATTTTATTCCAAGAGATATAAAGACTATAATTGAGATTTTGTTTAAGAAATCTCTTTATGATACTAGTTTTATTACTGTTAGATAAATAAAAGATATATTGATATTCAAAGAAAGAGTTTATTGTTTCCAAGAAATATGAAGTTTAATATAGTGATTTTTATTTTGATATAATAATTTTCAAGTTTTTTTTTATATATTTTAAAGAATATTAAAATTATTTTGAGAGTTTTATAATCATTTTCTTAAAGAAAAACTGGTGTTAATTATGTTTTTGAAAGGTTTTTAAACTTATAAAAGTGAATATAAGTAATAAAATTGATAGTGTAAATAATTGATATTATTGTTTTTGTAAATAATTACAATTAAACATTTGTAAACATTAATGATAATAATATTAATTAAGATATGAATTAATTCAATAGAGTTGCAAGTTTGTAATAATAAGTCTGTCATCATGTTATAATTGCTGATTGTGTAATATCAGAAGAGGTATAGAGATATGATACAAGATAAGTGAAAGTATTAAATAATAATCTGAGTTTTATAATAAAAGAAAGGTTTTTATTGTTCTTTTATCTCTTATACATTTTTTTCTTTATATATATATTATAAAATTCCAAAAATTCCTTAAGTTCCAATTAAATTCTAATTTGATAAGGATGATATATATTGAATTTATTTAATTTTTTTGCTTTTTTGATAATATGTTGATCTTTAGAAAATAAAGAAGGCTTTTTAAAGTTCTTTGCTATTTTTTTTTAAAAGAAAATTTGTATTTCTTTTTGATAATTTTATTTGAATGTGATTATGTTTAGAGAAAGTTTTTTTTTTATGAAAATTGAAATTTCAAAATTATATATAAAAAAATATTTGTAATTTTTAAATTTAAAAATCAGTAACAATTTTATTATATAAATTTTTTAATAATTAATAATTTAATTTTAAAAATTTTTTAATATAAACTTTTAAGATCTAAGCTTTTAATTAAATAAAATTATATAGTAATAAAGATATTGATATTTTAATTTATTATTAAAAAATTAAATTTCTAAAAATTTAAAATCTAAAAATCAATGATAATTTTATTATATAATTTTCTTAACAAACAATTATTTAATTTTAATAAACTTTTTATATGAATATTCAAAACCAAAGCTTTTAAATAAATACTTTTTTATTAAATAGAATTATATAATTCTAAATACATAATTATTTTAATTAAAAAAATCAAAATTTAAAAAAGTAATAACAAAAATTAGAATTCGGAATAAAATTAATTACATAATTATCAATATCATATTATTTGAAATTTAGGATTATAATTTTAGGATAATAGATATATATTGTATCTTAAGTTTTGATTTATCTTAATAATAATTATCCAAATAATGATAATAATAATATCTATTTATAAAAAAATAGTTTGTTATTGTTAAAATCAAAATTTAAACCTTAATTTTTGAATATAAAAAATATTGTATTTAAGAAAGTTTTAATATTATAAATAATAAATAAATAATAAATAATAAAAATTTAAATATAAAGTATAATATAAGAACATGTCTTATCTGTTAAATTTAATAATTTTTAAATAATTATTAATAATATATAATGCAATATCTTTAGATTTTTATAATTAATATATAAGATTATTTTATATTTGATAAATAAAATAAAAAAATTTTTAACTAGGTTAATTTTAATTTTGATTATATTATTGTTATTATTTTAATTTATTTAAATTAATCATTTTTTTTTAAAAAAAAATAATTAGATAACGAAGATATTAAGAAAAAAATTATATATTATGAGATTAATTGTTTAAAGCAATAGGCATATCCGTGATTGTGTTTATTTTATTAATGTTTGGGTTGCCAAAAATTTATTTTGTTTTGTCAGAGAAAATTTACAAAAGTTTTATCAATAAAATAATGTGATGGGCATAATTTATCTTACTTAATATTGATAAAACTAGTCGAATTTTATCTTATTTGCTTTCGAATATACTGCTTCTTTCAATAGAACATCAAGAAACACCATTAAAAACAACCAAAATAAAAAAATGGGAAATTTTTTTTTCTCTAATGCCTATTTGAACAGACAGAAATTTATTAAAAGTCATGTGAATTTAATACACTGTGTAAATGCCTATAGAATACATTTTTCAAAGACTCTATTGAATGCCTTCGGTTACACGCATCTTTGGCTGTACAATATGGTGTGCTTAGAAATTTTCTAGGTATCTGGATGATTAATTAAAATGCTCTCCGGAATCTAGCGAACTGACTGTACGTGCGTGTACCGTACATGTTTTCAAAGTTATGCAATTTTTGTTCAGAGTAGATTAGTAATTTGGATAAAATAGTGGAGTACATTAGACAAATGCAATGAATCGAAAGAAAGAATACATGTCAAGTATTCTTAGGCTGACATGCCACCATGCAAACGAAGAACCATGTAAAGCACGGATTCATTCTTAATGTCATAATAGGAGAGCGTGTAATCGTCATCAAGTGGCTTAGCACCAAATACCAAGCGTTGATTTTCAACTTTGCTGTCGGGATCCTTTTTAAAAATTTCTTGCTTCAAGTGAAGGATGGTGTCTGATGGTTTGATATAGATTGTGATGATTTTGTCCCTGGTAGTCCTCACGAATACTTGCATGACACCGCTGGAACCATAAACCAGATGAAGAGTAGATTCCTTTTGAATGTTATAGTCAGAAAGTTTTTTTCCATCCTCAAGCAATTTGCCAGCAAAGATTAGACGCTGTTGATCAGGGCCAATTCCTTGGGTTTCTTTGATTTTTTGTCTCACTTGGTCAATGGTGATGGAAGAGTCAAACTCGTAGGTAGTGATCTCTCCGCTAAGTTGTTTAATGAAGACCTTCATCGTGTTTTAACGACAACGTGTAATGGATGATAAGAGATTTGGCGTTTGGAGATAAGTAGTGGTATTCATTTGAAAAACCGAGTCCCTTTTATAATGAATTTGTTCTCTTCACGTAATTAAGGTCCTGTTCTTGTCGTGTTAGGGACCTAACATAGATTTTTCTCACATGCACATACGTAAAAACAAATAATGTATACTGGATTGCATATATTCCCTAATATATACGTTCATCCTTTGCAATTAAAGGAAATGTTTAAAAGAGTCCGATATCTGTACCACATGTGTATGCAAATATTAAGAAAGAATATTGGGAAGATGGATAAATTCCAACCCTTCTCGGTGATCCTTTTCAACTGATTTTCGGAGTGATCACTTGCAAACACCGTTTGTCAAGTATCCGCTTTTTATTCACCTTCCTTATTAATATCAATCATTTTTATTTCTTTGCATTCAATTCACAAAAGAAATTCCAAAAGCGCACACCTAAACAATCATACGGACAAATATTTTCTACGTTCGTGTTTATAAGGCAATGAGATGCATTAAACTTTCTCACATACTCACTACTACTGCATGTGCGTAAGTCTACATATCTGTACATACCTATCTTTATCCATCATAAATCATTCACCCAATTCACAAATGAAGTCAATGAGAAGTGTGCAGCGGTCGTATAAATATATGTCCCTTTTTTCAAAACTTTGTTATTTCTGGTTACCTCCGATTACATTTCTATATACAGCATAGCGGAAAAAAGAATTCTTGTGATTTAGGTAAATAGAACAATTTGAGGCAATTTCTCCGGATGTCTATTTTTTTTAGATCAGAACCAAGAATTTACTTAGGAAACATCCTTTGATCAATCTGATAAATTTTTTTCCAAAATTTGTTTTTAAAATCTAGCAATCATCTTTGTTTATCGTATTATTTCTGTCATGAATTCTTCTGCCATAATTTGTTGTTTTTATAGGGCAGGGAACGTTGAGTGTCAAATTTGCTTCAACGAATACCCACGAAAAGACTTTCGAAAAATTACAAAAAAATGTAAACATAGAAGTAGCGTGTGCACAGATTGTCTCAACAGACTAATTGAGTCAAAATTAGGAGATGATATTTGTTGCCCGCTCCAAGAATGTAAGCAAATTCTTGATTATCATGATGTTCGAAGGTTAGCGAACAAAGAGCTCTTTGAGAAGTACGTTTTTTACTATCGCGATTCTTTTTCTCTGGGTTTAAAAGTCATGTGAAAAGATTTCAAAAAATCATTGCATAAATTAGGTTCGATAGTATTATACTTCAAAAAGCACTTAATAATATACCGCAATTCAAGTCGTGCGCACTATGTGGTTTTGGCCAGATTCATTCAGGCAAGGATAACATTATTAATACGATTTTTTGTATCGCGAATTTCAACTTACAGTAGTTATATTAACACTCTATTTAAATATCCGAAAGATGAGACACCGATTATGATCTGCATTAAGTGTGGTGGAAAGATGTGTTGTAAACATAACATAGCTTACCACGAGGGTCAAACATGTGAAGAATTTGACTTTAAGGATGACACACAGACTAAAGATTATCTAGATCGCGAATCCAAAATGTGTCCGAAATGTCAAGTGAGGATTACAAAAATTTCTGGATGCCTACACATGACCTGTGACCGTTGTAAACATGAATTTTGCTGGCAGTAAGCATATTATATCGTATAACGTTTTTTTTATTCATCTGGGATACAATGGTGATTAATGTTATTGTCCTTATCTCGTTTTAGATGTTTGGCAGATCATAAAACTTGTTCTCACACTCGTTAAAAAATTGATCCGAGCAAAGATCTCCAGAACCATTTTCTTCTCACGGATAATTAGATAAATATCATTGGTTCAGTTTCATGTAAATTTGATATTTTATGAAATGTCAATTACCTTTTCATGTGAAAAGTTTAACCTTGGTGTAACTTCAATTATTTTTAACACAAGTGTATTAAACATTGAATGGATGAAGCGAAAAATACTGTATGCGGACATCACTAAATGCGATATTGATGGTGAATAAAATTTTGCAAAGATAGTTGTATTTATTTTTACGTGAGGCATAGTTCACCTACGATATATGTGATATATGTTATTCTCCCCATACCATTATTATTTAAAAAAAAAATAGTCTTGAATAAGCCCTTGTACACGAATATCCCTAACTAGCCGTTCGATGTGTGACACGTATTGTGCTCGCCTGCTCATGTACGACAACGTAATACTGTACAGTAGTAGCATGTATTTGTGGTCTAGTGGATGTTGATTTTCAATTTTTTTTTTTTAAAAAAACATACTGTATATTAAAAAAAAAAAAGAAACGATTTTAGTCATCATAATTGGAACTTGAAAAAAATTTTTTTTTTCGCATTTTCTATAAATTACCGAATATATAAATTTTATCAAGTTAACAATAAACTTGCTATTTTATCTTGGATTTTATATTTAATAAAATCAGTAATATTTAAAATAAATTTGTAATTAAAAAAAATATTCATAATTGAAAAATATTCAAGTACTGTATTTTGAAATAGAAAGGTTAAAAAAAATATGATTTCTTTAAACGTCTTAACCGTTTTTTGAAAATTATTTTTATATTCTTATTTCTATAATTAACAACTACAAATTGTTAATTACTTAATAATATACATATATAATATACATATATATTATTCAATATTCGTATCTTATTTTATTTTGCTTTTAATCTTATTCATTTTAAAAATTTAAAAATATTCAAACATTTTGTTTTTAACAAAAAATGTTTATAACGATACAAAAAAAAATTTTTTTGTTTATATTTCTAAAAAAAATCTTGTTATTACTTAACATATTATCAATAATATAAATTTTATTTTCAAAATTTGCTGACTAAAATTATTTTAATTTTCAAAAAGTTGCTATAAAAAATTTTTTAAAATTTTTTAAAATAACATAGGTATTAAAGCAAAAATATACTAATTTAATTTTAAATGTTCTTTAAATTATTAACAAAATATTTAAAACAATTATTTTATTAAAATATATTTAAATATATCACAAATTTTTAACAATAATTTTATATTATTCAAATAATTACTTAAACTATTTCAATTAAATATAATTCTAATTATTCTATTAAAAGTTTATAAAAAATAAAAGTTTTATTTATACATGATATATTATTTTTAAAATATTTTATATATGTAAAAAAAAATCATTTTTTAAAAAATTATTATTTAAACTATAATATTATTTAAACTATAATATATTATATATTATTTGATTTTATAATTTATAATTATTATAATATATATTTTTATAATAATATAATTGTATTTTTTTATTGTTAATTAATATCTTATTTGAATAAAATATTATAAACTATTGATTAAATTTTTAACTTTTTTTAATAATTAAAAGTTTTTTAAAAATAATTGATTACAAAAAAAAAATATTTTTTTATTAAAATTGTCTTATTTAATATTAAAGATTTTAAAAATATAATTTAATTCAATTATATAATAACAACAATAATAACAATAATAATATAATCAAATATAAAAAATCATAAATAATATTTGAGTTATTAAATAACAAATTATATAATATATTAAAAAATATATTTTTATTTATAATTAATAAAAGATTATTTAAATTTCTTAAAACTTTATAAAACATTTTTTTAAAAAATATTAAAATTATTATCAAAATTTTTTTTTGATTAAAATTTTAAATTAATAAATAAAAAATTTATATATAAAAAAATTATATAAAAAAACCTAAACAATAAATTATAAAAATTTTTTATAAATTTTTATATAAAATATATAATTTTTTATTGAAATATAAATAAAAAATTTAAAAAAAATATTTATTATATTTTATTTTTATTATAATTTTAAACTTGTAATTACAAGTTTTATAATTCTTAGTATAATATACAGTATGTCTCATAATTTTTTGTAAATTTTATTTATTAATTACTCGATAACCGCTGAACCAAATACAATAA